GAGGAGATGAAGGGCAGGAGTGGGAGAAGAACTGCTACTGAATCAGGATCAGAGTGATTTTTTTTACTTTTAGCAATTTTCAAAATGCAGTTATTTGACTGTTTAGTTTTGGCCATTATTTATAACCCCAGCTACAGAGGTGGGCAACAGTGACTGAGCCTGCTGGTATCTGTCCAATACCTTCCCCCAGGGCGGGGCTGGGGTGGGTGGTGGATAAGGTGATCCAAGAACCAAATTAACAAGTGACCAAGAAGGTGAGAGAAGTTTCAGGCCATCTCCAGCAAGAGTAAGAAAGGAGGGACCACTAATGACCTCACTGACTATTTTTTTTCAATTAAAAAAAAATATTTACTTATTTATTTATTTATTTATTTATTTATTTCTGCTGACTCTATTTTTAAGGCAGCTGTGAGTGAAAAGATTTTAATATGAATTATGGTCACATCAGCAAATTCTGAGATTCTTGCAGATGGACAGAGACTAGGCCAATACTTTTACTCAGAAGTTGCGAGATTGGCCTGGCTACACTAGCATTGTCTTTAAAAGGTCAAGTCATGCTTCCCCACCTTACAGGACAGTTATCTGCACACAGAGGAAACTGCTATCCCTAACCCCTCCTGGTCAAAAAGAGGCTTAGAGGTGAGAGGGTGGCTGGTTCTGTGCAAGTCTTTCCTAACTGAGCCAGCACCTGGCAGTGGCCACACCATTTACTGGCCCTTTTAGATGCCAGCAAGGGAGAAGCTGGAGACGATGTGGCCAGCCAGGCAAGGCTCCCAACCTCCAGGAACTCCCAGGCCTTTGAAGCAAACAATGGACAACTACACTTTGTATTTGAAATATGGTACCCACCATTTTACTGGCAAGGGGAGCATTTGAAAGGAAATTGAAGGATCTTTTAGGGAGCTTCAAATGTAACTGAGGAGACAAGATACAGGTATGAGAAAGAAACTTCACAAGAACATACACAAAAGAGTATCCCCGCTACCCCTGCCCTGTTTGGTTCCTCCTCAGCTCTGGGTAAGGGTATTATTATGGAAGCGTTCTGACTGGTCTCCCTGCCACTCTGATCAGTCCCCCTCACAGCTTTCAGAAAGAGATCTCTAAAGTTCAAGTCTAATCGTGGGATTCCTCTGATTAAAGTCCTTCACAGATTCCACCTCACCTCCAGCCCAGGCTCCTCAGCAGGGCATTCAAGGCTCTGCATGAACTGGTTCCCAAAACCATTCATGCCTCTTGTTATGTCAACCACTCCAAATCCAGTCATGCCCTTAGTCACCCACACACCGTACTGCTCCACACCGCTATGCTTTTTGCACATGCTGTTCCCTCTGCATAGAAAGCCCTTACTCTCCTTGTCCGCTGGCAAACTTATTTGTCCTATGAAGTTCTACTCGTTTCACCTCCTCTATGCATCCTTTCCTAAACTCTCCTGATAAAACCGTCCACTTGCTCCTCTGTAGCACTTCTGAACCTTGCTCACCTTTCTATTTTTCCATTAATACTCTTATAGTGGTTTGGAACAACAAGCTTGCTGGCCTGGGGAAACACGATGTTTTATCCATCTTCCTTTGACTCAATGCCTGACATATAATGCCTGGGTAATCATCTTGCTCAATAGACAAAAGCAAACAAACATCGAGACCATATAAAGCTATATTCACAAACATTAAGATGTTACTGCCATAACTAGGGTAACTGGAATAATAAATATCAGTAACAACAGCCATTTATTGCCAGAGTAAGAGCACTTACTCTGTCAGGAACTGTGCTAAGCTCTCTATAACAATCATTTCCTTTAATCCTTATAACAACCCTGTGAAGTGGCTATTCACATCTCCACTTCACAGATAAGAAAACTCAGGCACAGGTAAATTTTATAACTTGTCCAAGAGCAATGCAGACAGAAAGCGACAGAGCTAAAATTCAAATCCAGATCTGACATCAAACCCTGTACTGGATGCTAGAAGAGCTGATGAGTAAAACAAATAGGAGTTATGTTCCTCTTACTTTTTAGGGAAGGAGAGAGGGAAACAGAACATCTACCAAACTGTATAAGGAAAAGTACACATAAAGCAGTAAGTGCAAAATAACATAAATCACTATGCCCTAATACCTCAGGAAGAATAAATCAGGAAAGACCTTCTGAAGAAAGTAAATATTAAAGAAGGTTGCGAGATGCATCAAGGCAGGAAGAAAAGCCTGTGTGAAAGCATAAAAACAGGAAGAGCAGTGAAGCTACCCATGTGAAGTCTGGCATACGAGTATGGGCAGGGGGCAACTGGTAAAAAGGCTTTGAAACGAACATCAGATCCTGCTTTGAGCAATAACTGTATCATGATGAAAATAAAACTCAAAGTAAAGATTATGTTTGGTTCAAAAAAAGAAAGGAAGAGAGCAAAAAGCTTTTAGGATTTCCCCTTCCCCATTCTAAATACACCTAGCTAAAAAAAAAAAAGGGACTTCCCTGGTGGCGCAGTGGTTAAGAATCCGCCTGCCAATGCAGGGGACACAGGTTTGATCCCTGGTCCAGGAAGATCCCACATGCCAGGGAGGAACTGAGCCCGTGCGCCACAACTACTGAACTACTGAGCCCACGTGCTGTAACTACTGAAGCCCATGAACCTAGAGGCTGTGCTCTGCAACGAGAAGCCACCGCAATGAGAAGCCCACGCACTGCAACGAAGACCCAATGCAGCCAAAAATACACACACACACACCCCTAGCTGTTCGACTTTCATCTTTAGTACACACCTTTCTTACGATCACATTTCTACCTTCTTGGTGTTAGTTTTTTCATCTTTCTGCCAGAGGGTACACCTTCCCAGGACAAGAACCATGTCTAAAGGAAACTGTAAACTCTTTTAAAGCTACCTGCAGTGTTTGAAAATTCGGTGTAAGGGATTAACTAATGTTGAACATCTGTAATGCTGGTGTTTGTATTTTGAATGGCTAAGTCAGGATTTTATTCTAAAACACTAATTTCTAGGGAGGGATACTTCACCATCTTTGGGTGCTATACATTCAGAGACTGTGAAACAGTAAACATATTCTGATTGACTAGCAAGAATTTACTGTACATAGAGCATGGTCTAGGTACTATTTATTATTATTTTTGGATGCATTGGGTCTTCGTTGCTGCGTGCGGGCTTTTCTCTAGTTGCAGGAAGCCATGGCTACTCTTTGCTGCGGTACACAGGCTTCTCATTGCGGTGTCTTCCCTTGTTGTGGAGCACAGGCTGTAGGCGCACGGGTTTCAGTAGTTATGGCGCGTGGGCTCAGTACTTATGGCTTGTGGGCTCTAGAGCACAGGCTCAGTAGTTGTGGCACACGGGCTTAGTTGCTCCGCGGCATGTGGGATCTTCCTGGAACAGGGCCTGAGCCTGTGTCCCCTGAATTGACAGGTGGATTCTTAACCACTGTGCCACCAGGAAAGCCCAGCTCTGGGTAATATTAAGGATGGTATAAAAGAAATGGGATTTGCTCTTAACATTAGAGCTCCTTACCAATAGTCGGGGAGCCACAACATCCAAGAGTAACCTCAGGAACACTCCAGTAAGTGCAAAATAACAGTAATAGTGTGAAATTAAATGCTTAAGTCCTGAGGGGATACAAAAGAAGAAGAAACATGAGCCCTTTCCAAACAAGCTCTTATGCACAATTCAACCTAAGTAAATTATTCAAAGGTATTTATAGTAAACACTAAAAGCTAAACACTAAATACTAAAAGCTGCCTGTGTTAACACTAGCCCAGGATATCTCCAAGGAGAGTACTAACCAAGGGTCTGGAACTTCAATTCTTCAGAGTCCTCTGTTCAGCACATTAATCAGATGTTTACCTTCTGCTGCTTTGTTCCTTAGCTCAGCTCCAGGGGGAAATCTCCATCTTAGCTAGCCTCAGGTGAAACTGGGGTCCAGGATCCTAACTTAATGACTGAGCTGGGCTGGATTCCACCCATGAGCTCTGGGCCAAGCCTTGGTCTTCTCAAGGATTTTCTTCCAGCAAGGCTAAATCCTCAATGCCTGCTGTCCACTTCCCAGCCTTTTCTTATGACTCTTCTAGCCTTGCATCTTCCAAAACTTCTCCTTTCAAGGCGCTCTCACTATTATTTAAAAATCAACGCCTTTCTGAGCTCCACCTTTACTAAAAATATTCCTTCCTCTTCCCCCTTCCCCCAACTCCTGGCTCAACCATCTGCATTTCGAGAGGTCACTTGGGCTAACGGGTTCAGTGCTTCTCCGGCTCTGATATGGCGCACACAAACACACACACTCTCACCCTGCGGGCCACCCAAGGCTCTCAAACCCATACAGAATGTGCTCACCACAAAACTAAATTGGTAATTCTTTGGAGCTACAGCTTCTGGAGAATGGTTCTGTCTCCCTTCGCGAGTGAACGGATTAACTTACTTGCTGTTCGCTAAGGGCAAGGACAATGTCTCCTCTACCAGATAAGAAACTTCCCGATGATAGACGCTACCCTTTCGTTCCTTTCACAAGCCCCCATTCTCACCACTTTGAGACACAGTATGCCTGTTAAAATATAGTTTCTTCTGCAAAATATCCCTTCCCAACTTTGAGTTTATGTCATAAACGGAAACGTCCTTTAGCCAATTCGGCGACGAAGGGGTTAAACCTCGGCAACCTGATGGATTCTGGGGCTTTCCTTCCCCGACTTCGGAAATTAAAACTACCGGGAAGGGAAATGTTGCCCAAGGTAAAGATGAGAACCGTTAACTTCAACTGTCGGGCTTCTGCCCAAACAGGAATGGCTACCCACGCCTACAAAGGGTGCCATTCCCCTAACTAAACACGGCTCACCCCGGTTTCCACCATCGGTGTCACTTCCTGACCAAGTCCAAAATGGCGCTCAGTAGCCTCACCGGAGGAACGAACCTCCCAGCATCCTCTCTGACCCGTAACGTCAGGTGACGCGAATCCCAGCCGGAAGTAGAGGAAAAAGCGCCTCAGCCCGCGGCGCCTGCGCAGAAGGCTGTAGACGCTGTGAAGCAGGAGGCACTTGGGATCGTACGCAGGATTGGGACTGCTACAGAGGCCGCCACGGAGCCCGCCGGAGCCACCGTTCCTACTGCTGCTGCCGCCGCTGCCCGAATCGGAACCGTCGGGCCGCAGCCGCCGGCAATGCCGCGAAGGAAGGTGAGAGGAACGGGACAGGAGGGATGGCGGGTTTCTAAGGACAGTCTTTTGAGCAACGTGACGCAGTTGGCCACGCCTTACAGTGGTTGGAGTCCAACTTCCCGCTCCCCCGAACCTAGCTCAGCAACCCTCTCTTCTGTCCATACCCAACAGAAAAATGTGGGCCCGACCCTGGCCTCGGCCTATGCTTGCAACTATTCCCGCCCTCTGCTTGCCTGGCTCGGAGGCGTTCTTCTCGTTAATTGGTCGCTGAAACGTATAGAAGCATATTGATTGGCTGGTGACACCGCCCATTTGGGCTCAACGGTCACCTCCCCGCGTGTGGGGGCGGTGTCTGGGCCCGGCCCCACCGCTCTCCGACTGGCGGTAGAGAACGAACCCTTTTCTCTTGATTGGCTGGGCTTGGCAGTCTGTCCTGTGGGGGCGCGGTTTAGCGGGGCCGCGATTGGGTGGCACGAATCCCCCTCCCTTCCGTCTGGAGATGCTCATAGGAGGAGAGGCGGGGTTTTGGAGCATCCTTCCTTTCCCCGCGGGGGACACAACAAAGCAGAGGACTGGGTGGTGGAGAACCAGCGCCCACTCCCAAGGGATCTCACTCTGGCCTGTTGCTCCTAAGCTGTAATTATTATTGTTTCCTTAGTTGGACAGCGCCTAGAAAATGCAGTTCGTAAAATCAGAAACTTTGTAGAATTAGATGGGACTTATGAGATCACCTAAGGGACACTCCCATCCCTTCTTTTCTCAGCTAAACAGAGGCTTATTGGAGTGCCCCAAGCTACTCAATTAGGCAATGGCAGAGCCAGGACTACAGAACAAATCTAATTCAGTTCAACAAATGTTTATTGACTACTTGCTACGTGCTGGTTGCTGGGGATTCAGAAACTAATTAGACGTGAACCCTGGCATAAGGAAATCAGTCTGATGGGGAAAACAGACATATAAATAACTGTAGAAGGATCTAGTAAATTCTCTACTTGGCAGTAATGTACAAAGCTTAATGTCAGGGAAGTGGGAGAGCAATTAAGTCTGTTCTGGAATAAGATGAGAAGTAGATTGGTGAAAGCCAAAGAGAAGCACTGAGTTCTACAGTCAAGCCAGGAAGGGATGGTCAGAGATGATCAGGGATCCACATATCTGGGTAATTGGACTAGATGACCTTTAAGATTCCCCCTTTTATCCTATCAGTTTTCTGTGACCCTCTCTGGGGCCTCCACTCATTATCTGGGCAGATTAGACTTGAAATATTTGGAAAATTGGGTGGTATTGTTCACTTCTGAAGAAATGTTTCTCTTCCCAGAGGCTTTCAAATATTTGCACTTTTTAATGTCTCCTAAAATGATGTACATTGACAGGTGGTATTTATGTTAAGGCTTACCAAATGCAGGAATAGTACTGGTGCCTTGGAATAGGCCCACAGTCCCCTTTCTTCAATTCCTAAATACAAAGAGCTCTTGAAAATGTAAATTTTCTAGTAACTTATTTGGTGACAAAACCTGTTCTAAACTGTCCTGAGTTTTCGTGTGTCTAGTTTAGTGTGATTGTTTACATATTTTGCTGCAGAAAGGGTGTTATTTGCAGCATATGTGCAAATTATTCTCTTTCCAAAAATCTAAAAAGTTATGAATTCTAAATACAGCTGGTCCTGAGGGTTTTGAATAAAGAATTGGGGACTTGTAATTTGAAACTTTGGTTTTTTTTGTTTTTTATTTTTTTAGCAAATACATTTCTCTTTCTGGTTTAGTAAAAGGTATAGTGTTGATGCTCAGTTGATAAAAGTTATCTTTATGGTTATTCATGCCTCAGGAGGCTAACAATTGACAAATAATTATTAATTTAAAAGTTGATTTTTCTTTTTTTTTTTTTTTTTTTTTTTTTTGCCGTACTCGGGCCTCTCACTGTTGTGGCCTCTCCCGTTGCGGAGCACAGGCTCCGGACGCGCAGGCTCAGCGGCCATGGCTCACGGGCCCAGCCACTCCGCGGCATGTGGGATCTTCCCGGACCAGGGCACGAACCCGTGTCCCCTGCGTCGGCAGGCGGACTCTCAACCACTGCGCCACCAGGGAAGCCCTAAATGATGATTTTTAAAAACCTTTTGTTTTTGCATACCTATGAGTATTCATGTGCAAGCCGCTCCCTCCCCCACTTTCTTAAGGCACTTTTGCCATTCATGTGGAGAAACTTCAAAAGTAGATAAGAAAGAAGGATGTTACTCTTTTTCTCCTTAAGTTCTTTTGGGATCAGAGTTGTGGACCATGACATTTTGAATTAGTGTGTAGTTTTTAAAAATGTAATAGCTGTTCATGGAGACTTTGTACAAAAGCTACTCTGAATTTCAGTGGGGTCTAGTAACTAACATTTTTCTCATTACCCTGGACTTTCTGTAAGTACATGGTTATGTCAACCAATCTGTTTTGAGTAGAATACTTTCCAGTTTGTGGTACTGACCTCCAGATGGACTTGTTTCAGAATTAACGATAATACAGTAAGAATTCTCTTTCTGTGTTTATTTAATAAGGGTGCATTATTTGTAGGTTGTTTCATTTAAATGCTCTAAATAAAGGAAAGTTGTCTGTGGAATCCTTTCTTAGGTTTGAACTTGGTGTTTTCAGTATCACAGTTCGTTTTTTTTCCAGTGTTAATTCAAACCCACAGAGTAAATGTTTCTGTGCTAATGTTTGGATCTATGGTGTTACAGAGGAATGCAGGCAGTAGTTCAGATGGAACCGAAGATTCCGATTTTTCTACAGATCTCGAGCACACAGACAGTTCAGAGAGTGATGGCACATCCCGGCGATCTGCCCGAGTCACCCGCTCCTCAGCCCGACTAAGCCAGAGTTCCCAAGGTAAAAGGCGGCTTCCTTCTTCCTGACCACACCTCACAGCTGACTGGACATCACGTTATGGTGCTGGTTACTGTGGAAACTGGTCCCATGTCTTGATGTTGATGACAGAATCTGGTAAAATGCAGAGTAAATGACTGCGAAGTATCAGGTTTTTAAAAATGGTTCTGTTGGGGGTACTGTCCAATTTGTAGACCCAAAGGAACTATGTCTGGTTTAATAGGTGTGTGACACATGTATGTCCTGAGTCATTTAATTTTTTATAGATTACAGTTTCCCTATCAGTAAAATGAGAATGCTATCTTTTCACTTTCGTTAGAATGGTTTAGGCCTAGGGACTTAAAATAGTCTCTTGAACTTGTTATTATAGGAGGCCCAATACTTTTAAAGCCACGTTTAATTCTGTAATATAGTCAGGTACAAGTAATAAATATAAATAGTTGACCTAACTATCAATTGTAAATACCCAGAATTTTGCTTTGGTAGTAAAGAACAGAGAATCTTGGTGTCGGAAGTTTCTCTAGTGCAATTAGCTATCTGGGCTTAGATTTGGAGGGTACCCCTAAACCCTCTTGGCTCTGCTCTGGGATTCCCTGGGGAAGAAAGAAAGTTGTAATGAATACAGAAAGCTGATGATCAACAGCTAATATACTTAGAGCGCTTAAACAGTGTTGATTTGGTTAGTGCTTTGTATAAGCATGTTGCAAAATGAGAGAAAAACGTCTCTTTTTTCAAGCAAGGAAGTGGGAACATTCTCAGCAACTGTTCCTTACTTTATTTTTGAATCTAATATTTGAGCTGAAGTATAGATGTTGTCTCTTGATTTCTCAACTTTTAAGTTTTTATCTTTTGGCATAATGGGAATATTGACAAATGGCTACTATAATTCAGGTACTATGCTATGTACTGGAATACCATGATAGAAAAATCATACTTCCTGCCCTCAAGGAGCTCACAGTTTAGTTCGGGATGTAAACTGGTATGGTAATGCATTGTGGAACGGGCTCTGAGAGAGATTTGCATAGAGTACCGTGGAAGCCCAGATATGGAAATCTTATGGGATCTAGTAGGAATTTACAAGTTGAAAGATGGGAAAGTGTTATTATAGGTAGAGAGTACAGTATATGCAAAGGAATGGGCATATGTGTTCTTAGAAAGTATAATTGGTCATGCCCTGGACACCTGAAAGTTGTAAATATTCAAAATAGCTAGGAATTACATGAGCTCCGAGTCTCTTTCTAGTTATACTTTATGACCACTGAGTCACACAACTCCATGGGGTACCGTTCACAGTGTGGTCCACGTAAGATGACCCTCTCTAAAGCAAAATGTAGACTATCAATACATTGTGAATGGAGCCCCCTGGAGGTATGCAAACTGAAAACCTAGCTGGGTGCTAACTTTTACACAAAAGTTGGAGAATTTCAGTTTTCTTCTTTGAAGAATCTGTAAGATATACATGTTAGGATTTTTGGTTGATTAAAATATGCTTTAATTTTAGCTCTGAATTTCTTTTATTCCTTTTTTGAGTGTCATCAGAGTGGAGATGAGAAAAGGCTACTGGGTGCTTCAGAATAGATTTCTCTATCCAAAAGAATTTTAAAAGTTGTAGTCTTGCCTTGCCCTTTATGAATCTAATATTATTTTGCTTTAGGGTATCAGATAGGGTAATCAGGAAGAAAAAAAAGAGATCCTTAAGGAAAGGAAATATTCGTATATTGATATACCTTTAGTAGTACAGCATCTGTTTTCTGGTGGGTTAGAGTAAAGGAAGAAAGAGAGGACGTAGCTAATATTTATAAAGCACTAAATTTAGCTACCTAGGGATCATGTTAGGTGCCTTACATAAATTATTCCACTTATTCTCACACAAAATGTATGAGGAATATGCTACTAGTTTTTCCCCATTTTTTATAGATCAGGAAACAGGCTTGGAGAGATTAACTTGCCCAAGATGCCACAGCTAGTTAGTATGATGAAGTGGAATTGAATCACGTTCAGTCTTGATTCCAGAGCCTAAACTATTAATTCCTTGCTGTATTGCATCTCTATAACTGATTTGCTTATATTTAGTTCAATAAAATGGATATTTTGAGGATTTGTTGGATTTTTTGAAATATGAAGAGGAGGGCCTACGTGCTAATAAGTCATACCACTGGGAAATAAAACAGATTTCCTTCTTTTTTCTTTAATTGTTTTATTGTTTTTAAAAATCGGGATCAGATTCCAGTCCTGTTCGAAATTTGCAGTCTTTTGGCACTGAGGAGCCTGCTTATTCTACCAGGAGAGTGACCCGTAGTCAGCAGCAGCCTACCCCAGTGACGCCGAAAAAATACCCTCTTCGGCAGACTCGTTCATCTGGCTCAGAAACTGAGCAAGTGGTTGACTTTTCAGATAGAGGTGAGTGGGTATGGTATGATTTGGACCCATTACAGAGAGGGTCTAGTCAGTTTCCTCTTAAGGGAGGCTTGGAGCCACTGCAGATAGATTGATGCCCAATACAAAATTCAGCTAGGTGAATGCTGGTGTGTCTGATTCCTTTTTTGTGTCTTGCTAAGGTCAAGTTTGGTACTCTAGTACTCTTGAGGTCCAGAGTAGCTGGAATATATTCGATTGGACCTGCAGTAGGCAAAAGGTACTGGGTACCTCTTACCCACAGATGAAGAAGGCTTAAAGCACATTTTCTTACAGCCATGCTTGTCAGTCCATTTATCTCTGAATTTCTGAAGAGGAGTGACCCATCAGTAATGGGGAATGGTAAGGTATTGAGGTTGTGATTCAGCAGCCCAAATCAGAGACCTTAGATGAAAGGCTTTAGGCTTTTAGCCTGCCAACACCCCACGGCATGTGTAACTTCCCCAACCAGGGATGGAACCGGCGGCCCCTGCAGTGGAAGCACAGAGTCTTAACCACTAGACCACCAGGGAAGTCTGGTCAACTGGTTTGATGGAATCGTATTTACTTTTTAAAAAAAGTTTTGTTGCCAATATTTGAAAAAACAAAGATTTCATGTAAAAACCTGAGTTACTAGTTTGTTTTAAAAAATGGAAAGCTCTGGGAACATTAGGTGGCCATTCACCACAGTAATAATTGGCTGGAACTGAGTAGTAGTTGTCCCCTTGAGAGGGACAGTCAGCTCTCGATTTGGCCTTGCTCAGCCCCGGTAGGCATTTGGTTTGCAACCCCTAATTTAGAGTTAGTCAGGTCCATTCACAGTCTCACACCAAGTCTGTTCAGTGTCATCCAGAAAGAACCATTTTCATTTATCTTCCATCCTGTGTATCTCCTGGAAGGAGAGTGGGGTGGTAATGTTTTTTAAAGATTTATTCCCATCCAGTTTTGATTACCCATGATTTGGGGCTTGGGAGAAACACAGATAAGTAAAATGCATTAGGTAAACTCCAAATGAGATTTTAGTCAGGAGTTAAAGTTGCAAAAGAGGAATGATGTTATTAGTTTCTCTTCATTTTCTATTTAGTTTTATGGCAGATAAGTGGCTAAAAGTTACTGGTTAAATCGTAGAAAGAGGGTCTTGGAAAGCCCATAAGCTCTTCTGAATATAATAACCCTCTAAACAAAATAAACCCCATTCATGAGTTCTACCAATTGCTTTTACTTTAGAAACTAAAAATACAGCTGATCACGATGAGTCTCCACCTCGAACGCCAACTGGAAATGCCCCTTCTTCTGAGTCTGATATAGACATCTCCAGCCCCAACGTTTCTCACGATGAGAGCATTGCCAAGGACATGTCCTTGAAGGACTCAGGCAGTGATCTCTCTCATCGCCCCAAGCGCCGCCGCTTCCATGAAAGCTACAATTTCAATATGAAGTGTCCTACGCCAGGCTGTAACTCCCTAGGTAAGTGTGCCCAAGCCTCATGACACCCTGTGATATGTGGTTCTCTCTCCCTCTGGAATTAGCATCACCCAGAAATGTTTAGTGTTCCATTGCGACTTAGCTTCTTAGGCTCTTCAGTGATCCTCCTCAGAATAACTCTGAATTGCCCGCTTGAATAAAAGCATCTCTGGGACTTCCCTGGTGGCGCAGTGGTTAAGAATCCGCCCGCCATTGCAGGGTACGTGGGTTGCAGCCCTGGTCCGGTAAGATCCCACGTGCCGCGGAGCACCTAAGCCCATGCGCCACAACTACTGAGCCTGCGCTCTAGAGCCCGCAAGCCGCAACTGCCAAAGCCTGCATGCATAGAGCCCGTGCTCCGCAACGAGAAACCATCGCAACGAGAAGCCCGCACACCACAAGGAAGAGTAGCCCCTGCTCTCTACATCTAGAGAAAGCCCGCGCGAAGCAATGAAGACCCAACGCAGCCAAAAAAAAAAAAGCATCTCTGCTTCTTGGCCTCTTATCCATAGTAACAGATTTGGTTCCAAGGAAATTAACTCTGATGGGCCATTCAGTTTATTGAGAGCTTTTCCTAGTGAAAAATTTTCTCATTTTTCCAGCAAAAACAAAACAGAAAACCAGTTATCTCTAAATATCTCATCGTGTGGTGCTTAGTTCAAGCTTACTGAGGACTAATAGACTGTAGGTTAGTGATGAATAATGGTTGTATGGCCATAGCTATTAAGGAAATGAGAAAAACAGATTGTTTTGGTCAAGAGGTTCTGAAGGTAAGGAGTACAGATGAGACCCTGGCCTTTTGTGACTTCTGTAATTTTAGGTCTTGTGGCTTTGTGTGCTTTAGTAAGTATAAACTAGATAAGCATTTCTTCACAGATAGGTGAATATTTCATTATTTTCTTATGACTTATTTTTCCCCCTTACTGAGGGATTCTAGTAATGGTTTAAAAACCTTATTTGTGCTCCTTAAGTGAGATTAGGTGCAAATGTTGGGCTAAGCTTTTGTCTAGAGTTGAAAGGTGCTGATTGGAAGATAAGGGGCCTCTCTTTCTATCTACACATTTAGCCTTTGGGGACTTCCCTGGTGGCGCAGTGGTTAAGAATCCGCCTGCCAATTCAGGGGACACGGGTTTGAGCCCTGGTCTGGGAAGATCCTACATGCCACAGAGCACCTAAGCCTGTGCTCCACAGCTACTGAGCCTGCACTCTAGAGCCTGCAAGCCACAACTGCAGAGCCCATGTGCCACAGCTACTGAAGCTCGCATGCCTACAGCCCGTGCTCCACAGCAAGAGAAGCCGCCGCAATGAGAAGCACACACACTGCAACAAAGACCCAACACAGCCAAAAATAAATAAATAAATAAATAAATAAATTTTAGCCTTTGAATGTGGCCACCAGGTTCAGAAAAAAAGTAGAACAGAGTAAGTTGCTGCTTTGCAGACCACCAGTACATTTTCCCTAGTATTTTTTTTATTTGGATCCTTTCCTGGTCTTAGCAGCAGTTTCTTAGGTAATTTCAAGCCATCAAAATGCATAAGTAAAGCAAAAATTCCCCTGAACACTATACCAGTTGTTACTCAAGGTAGTTGTTTCAGGCCTAAATCAATTTCCTTGAGATAAATAATGAAAAACTAAGAATAGACAGTATATAAACACTAGTACAAGAGATAGCTAACGTGCTTCCAGACGGTAAGAGGATCTCGTTGCCACATAGCAGGAGAAGGAATTTTCCTCAGCTCTGCTTGTTGCTATCCACGCATCCTTAGATTGTTACTTTTATTTTATGTACTATGTGTAATCAGTCATTCAATACTTATTGACTGTTTTAAATTCTGGGGGTGGAGTTGTGAACATGTCAAATTCCCTACCCTCATGTAGCTTATAGTCTAACTGGGGAAGGCAAAACAGATGTGTAATACATCAACTAGAGATGTATGCTGTGAAGAGTAGGATACCGCACATACACACAAGCGTGTGTGAGTTGGGAAAGCCACTCTGATACGCTGATATTTGAGCAGAAACCTGAGATAAGTGAGAGAGTGAACCATTTGAGTATCTGGGGGATAAGCATTATGGGTAGAGGGAACAGCAAGTGCACAGGGTCGGGCAGGAGAATGCTTAACCACTTTGAGGAGTATTTTTTTGGGAGGGTTGGGGGTGCTGCGCCGTGCGGCATGCAGGGTCTTAGTTCCCTGACCAGGGATCAACCCGTACCCTCTGCACTGGGAGCACGGAGTCTTAACCACTGGACCTCCAGGGAAGTCCCTTTGAGGAATACTTTAGGGGCCCATATGCCTGGAGCAGATAGACCAGAATGGGGAGGAGGAGACAGACCAGAATGAGGTTAGAGTGGGGGACTGATTCTGTGTTATTTATGTCCTGGACTCAGCACCCTTAATGTGGTAGACCATGAGGGTAAATATAAATCTGTTGCATCACAGGAAAGTTTACTTGACTTTTGGTTTTAATGTATTGGCGAAGTTTGAAAAGTATGAGCCGGAGCTTCCAGTATTATTCTGGATCCTGTTCCACTCTTCATCTTAGGCAAAACAGTGTTGTTAATTTTTTTTTTTCTGGTAATTTTGGTATGAAAGTAGGATGTGCTTTTGAAAAATTAAAACCCTACAGGAGGTCTTGAGTGCTAAGTAAAAGTTCTCCTTCACTCATATCCCCAGAACCATGCCCTAGACATAAAACTACTATTGGTAGTTTTTTATGAATGCTGATAAGTTTCTATACATATATAGCACACGTGTATATGTACATGTATTTCTTTTTTTGTTATTTAGAAAAAGGAAAATATACAATGGTTTGACATCTTAGATATTTATTGGCACTCAGAGGTCCATCTGTTTAAAGGATATAGAGAATTCCATTATATTGAAAGTTCAGAAATTATTTAAATTGCCCTGTATTGATTGACATTTATATTGTTTCTCACTTTTTAACTTTTTTTTTCTTAAAGCTATTTTGAACAGTACTGTAATTGATAGCCTTGTATGTATGTATTTTGGTGTCTCTAGAAAATCTGTTGGATGAATTCATAGCAGTGGAATTGCTAGGTCAATAGAACAGCTATCATTTTTAAACTTTTAATATAGACATATTGGTTGTAGTTTACATATTGTAAAATAAAACAAACTTGAATAATTTATTCAGAAGTTACAGATGCATAGTAGCTAAAAAGCTTGCCATAGCAGTGATACTTTACATTTTGTACATAGTGTTTGATCAGTGAGGGTGGTATTTTGTGTCTAAGATAAATGTGTGGATCTCTAAGATTACATTTTAAATAATATAGTCCTGGAGAAATGACAGCCTGCATATCATATATTAACTCCCCTCTCCCCCAGTACTTGGACTGTTTTTACCCTTTATTTATTTTTTGGCTGCGCTGCAAGGCTTGTGGGATCTTAGTTCCCCAACCAGGGATCAAACCCAGGCCCTTGGCAGTGAGAGCACGGAGCCCCGACCACGGGGCCACCAGGGAATTCCCTGTTTTTACCCTTTAAAGCTTACTCTGTAAATCTTGTATAATTTTTAACTCCCTTTTAAATGTCTCCTTTACCCCAAGAAAGATAAAGGTTTTTGTAGATTTGCAATTTAGCTTAGCTAATTTATCTTTTTATCTCATTAGCCTTGGCTCACCATCCCTCTCAATCTTAGGTGTTTGATAAACCTTTTGATTGAAGGGACATATAAAAATGAAATAATCAGTTCTCTGTGTATTTTCACAAACCACATGAGAAATAGAAAAATGAAGAGATACCACTTAAGATAAAATGAGCTTTTTCTGTATTGTTTTTCCTAATATCTTCATCTTCCCTTCTTAAGAGGGCCTTGTGCAAACTGCCTGTTTAAAAGTTTGATTATGTATTTTATAAATAAATGGATGAATGAATAATATAAAAGTTTGATTATAGAAGAAGGCTAAGTCTTTAAACAAAACCAGCCACCCCTCCAAAAGAATGAATATATTTAACCTGGTCCAAAGTTATCAAGGTATGTTTCCTTATATGATAGAAAAGGCCACTTTCTTCTCCATTTTTCGTAAGTTTCTTTTGATTTTTGAAAGAAGTTCAGGGGCTTCCCTTAACGAAGTGGTTAAGAATCCGCCTGCCAATGCAGGGGACACAGGTTCGAGCCCTGGTCCAGGAAGATCCCACATGCCGCAGAGCAACTAAGCCCATGCGCCCCATCTACTGAGCCTGCGCTCTAGAGCCCGCGAGTCACAACTACTGAGCCTGTGTGCCGCAACTGTTGAAGCCCGCGCACCTAGAGCCTGTGCTCTGCAACAAGAGAAGCCACCCGCAATGAGAAGCCCGTGCACCGCACCGAAGAGTAGCCCCCACTTGCCACAACTATAGAAAGCCTGTGCGCAGCAATGAAGACCCAATGCAGCCGAAAATAAATAAATAAATGTATTTATTTTAAAAAAAGGACTTCCCTGATGGCACAGTAGTTAAGAATCCACCTGCCAATGCTGGGGACACAGGTTCGAGCCCTGGTCCAGGAGTATCCCACATGCTGCAGAGCATCTAAGCCCGTGTGCCACAACTACTGAGCCCACATGCCACAACTACTGAGCCCACATGCCACAACTACTGAAGCCTGCATGCCTAGAGCCCATTTTCCACAGCAAGAGAAGCCACCACAATGAGAAGCCCGTGCACCGCAGTGAAGAGTAGCTCCTGCGCACCGCAATAGAGAAAGCCCACGCGCAGCAACAAAGACCCAACACAGCCAAAAGAAAAAAATGTTCAATTCAGATTGGATAACATTGCATAACAGAAAGGAAAGTACTTACTATACATATGACTTGATCAGTTTAGCATAGGAAAGTTAAATTCCACCAAAAGAAGATATTCTTGCTTGTAACTTTGTGCCTTTTATTTTTATTTATTTATTTAAATTTATTTATTTTATTTATTTTTGGCTGCATTGGGTCTTCGTTGCTGTGCACGGGCTTTCTCTAGTTGCGGTGAGCAGGGGCTACTCTTTGTTGTGGTATGCGAGCTTCTCATTGCAGTGGCTTCTCTTGTTGCGGAGCACAGGCTCTAGGCGTGCGGGCTTCAGTAGTTGTGGCTCGCGGGCTTTAGAACACACACTCAGTAGTTGTGGCACACGGGCTCAGTTGCTCTGCGGCATGTGGGATCTTCCCGGACCAGGGCTCGAACCCACGTCCTCTGCATTGGCAGGCGGATTCTTAGCCACTGCGCCACCAGGGAAGCCCAACTTTGTGCCTTTTAAATAAGTTTATGGGCTTAATGACATTTTGGAATTTGAGAAAGAATTATCAGAAAAGAAGGAACTATAATTTATACTGAATATATGCAAGTGTGTTCAAAGATTGCTAGATCCAACCTGTGGAAGAAAAAAAATTATTGTGGGTGCAAGTTATGACCCTAACAGCACTTACCTTTGATGGGTTTAATCTGTAATCAGACATGTACGTGATAAAATGATACCTTAAAAATGCTAGAGAAAAATATGACTTTACAAGCTTAAGTCTTTCATCTTGAGATTAAGTTTTTTCCTCCTTTAACAGGACACCTTACAGGAAAACATGAGAGACATTTCTCTATATCAGGATGCCCTCTCTATCATAACCTCTCAGCTGATGAATGCAAGGTAACTGTATTGTCATTTATTCAGCATATACTTATTGAGTGCTTACCATTTGCCAGGTACTTTGCTAAACAATGGGGATACAGTGTGAACAAAATGGGCAAGGTCCATGTTCTTACATTCTAGTGGAGGAAACGTTATAAAAATCAACTGTGTTTAAAAAAAAAAAACAGACGAATTATTCTACGTAATGAGTGTTTTGAGAGAAATTAACAATGAGATTATCTATGGAATATTTGGAACATCATCCTCCAAGTGCTTTGATATTTTCTGTTGAAAATTATCTTCAAAGATTGCTAGGGACCTTTTCCACTAAGGAATAATTTGCATAAATATGTGATCTCAATATTTATGCATTAGTTTCTCTTCTTATAAGCCTATGAGGACATTTTGCTTTTTAAAAGTTTTTCAAAATTCTTTTCCTCTTTCTTTGTCTGTTTCTGTGAAATACTTTTCTTTTTGTTACTCGCAATCACACCTACTCTTGGCTAATTCTTGTCTTACATTCTTGAAAAATATAGTTCTAAATAACCTTTGGGATTTGGAATAATGGATTTAGGAGTAGAGCCTAAGATCCTATTTTGTATGTTTCTGTATGGGTTGTTACTACCAAGGAGGAACCAAGAAACTAATTATGGGCAAGCAGGAGTTGAAAATGTTACTAATTAAATGCATTGCTCAGGTAGTATTTGGACAGGTTACCCAAGTTGGTTAGACCAAAGTATTAATTGTCGTTTTTGTAGTTGTTATTTTGCTAAGAAGGCCAGGATAACAGGTTTACTCCTGTTTGGGCCAGTTTCCTCCTGAGAAAAATGAGATTCCCCAGCTAACATTAATTCTACCTGATTCAGGAATATGTTCTCTTATTTACAAGTAGAACACAGGAGGGAAAGTTTCGTTCTGTGTTGTGTTTAGTCTTTCAGCAAAGTAGTATACTTCCAATGCTTACATGGATTTTGAGGTTGTGGATACTTACTCTTATCTTCCTTCATCCCAGGTCTCTAATATAAGCAAGGCAATTTCTTCTGCTCTCTGTAGAAGTGGTAGGTCTTTCCATTATCTTCCCATTAGTGTGAGACCAGATCAAAACAGGAACAGCTCTTCCAACAACTGCATCAGAAGCTGACAAGGCATTAGGTGCTTCTTTCTCTGAAAATAACTGTGATCTCTGGTTTTTGAGAGTTGTCCGTTACCACTTGTCTTTAAATATAACGATCTGATAACTATGGATGGTTTTACATAAAAGTCTTCTTAAGGTATAACTTTTTAAATTGTTGGCTAATAGCAATATGAACATGTTGCCTTAAGCAATTTTTTTTTTATAAAAGAAAAAGAAAATTTTCAGTGTGGGGAAGAAAATTCTGAAAAAAGGAACGCATTTCCTGAACTTTCCTCTTTTGTGCTCTTTTTCACAAGGAGAATCAGGCTCAGCATAATCCATCTTTACTACTGGACCATGTGCTTGTGAGGATCAGGAGAATTTCTGAAAGATACATATTTTTATTACATTCAGAATCCCAAATGGAAAGATTAGGCTAATTCCTCACATTTACTAAAAACCCAGAGTTTTTCAAGTACTTGCATGTATAGAATTACTGAGTTTTGCAGTAAATGATTGCAATCAGTGATATTACCATTTTATATTCAGTCAAAAGACTGAATTCAGTAAGTTTACATTTTCATGGGGGAAGGCAAAATCAACATAAAATTAGTAAGCAATTAAGAATTTCGTGTAGTGGTAATGTTGTGAGAAATGGAAAGGAACAGAGAGTGACTGTTTTGGGGGTGACAGGGTATGGCACTGCTTTTGCTTGGGCTGTGGAGAAAGACATTTTATCTGAATCATGGGTGACGGCAAAGAGGCAGTTAGTTGTGTCTAGGTCCTGAGTAGAAGGATGGGCAAACACAAAGGCCGTGAGACAGGGATAAACTGTTGCATTTGAAGGGTGGAAAGTAGGCCAGTGTGGCTGGAACGTGATGGGAAATGAAGAAGCAGGATCCATATCATGAAGGACCTGTAGGCCTTGGCAAAAGGAGTATGCTTTTGTTCTGATGGCTGTGGGAGGCATTCGGAGGGCTTTAACAGAGGCGTGGTGTAATATCATAAACACTGTTTAAAAATCACAGCTTGCTGGTATGTGGAGAGTGGACTGGAGGGGGCAAGAGTTGACACAGGGTAAACAGGCTGTGTCTGAGGCTGAGGCAGTAGATGGTGGGCTGGTTTAGTGTCATTGTCAGTGGAGATGGTCAGAATTGGTTGGACTCAGGATATGTTTTGGAGGGGGGCAGCCTGATAAGAGTTGCTGATGAATTCATTGTGAGATGGGAGAGAAAGAGAACAATCAAGCATGACGTTCAAGTTTTTGACCTGATCAGTTGTTTCGAAAGTGTTGCTATTTATTGCTACAGGGAAGATTTGGGGTCGAGCAGATTTGTGGGAGAGTGTCAGTCACTGTTTTGACCATGCTGAATTTTAGTGTTGCTGTAGAATAGGGAGTTGGATATGAGTCCTCACTGCCCAGAAGATGAATTTGAGACTTGAAGAGCTAATGTGATTTGTCTAAGGTCATAACTACAGAGTTAAGTCTCTCTATAGACTTGATCCCAAGTATCTAGCCTTTCCTTTGTACTTCTTTACTCTGTTCTTGCACTCTTCACACATACTGTTGCACAGTGGAACGAGTACAGAGGCTCAGAGTCATCAGACTTACTTAAAATCTTAGCTTTACCACCACCTAGCTGTAATTATTTCACTTCTCTGATTCTCGGATAATGGCTGAGAAAACAGATGTGAAGCTTGCCTTATCTATTTCTTATAGAGATTGTGATACTAAATGTGAAGACCCTTTCAAAGTAAAAGTACAGTGTAAATTCAAGGGATTACTATTGTGTTCTTGCACTTTAAGTAAACATAGTCTTAGAGGCAGGTGGATTGATTGACGTTGTTGATGGTTGCAGGTGAGAGCACAGAGCCGGGATAAGCAGATAGAAGAAAGGATGCTGTCCCACAGGCAAGATGACAACAACAGGCATGCAACCAGGCACCAGGTACGGGCCTTGTTAAAGCTCTGGCCATTTACAGTTGGAGAGCCAAGTCTTGGATCTCCTCTGCCCTGTAATGGTCTTTAGGTATATCCATGCCTCGTTTTCTATGCTGTGTCTGGATAACTGGTCTTTGGTCATAAACTTAGAATCATACTTTTTCCAAATAGTGAATTTTCAAGAAAAAAACTCCTACTCAAAAAAGAAGGAATCATGCTACCTAGAATAATAATAATAATGGTAATAATAATATTAGTAATAATAGGTAATCTTGATTATTTGAAAGATTATACTTGCTGCTCTGTTTCCTTATTTGCATCCATTTCTAACCCATTATAATATCGGGCCCCTCTGCTCTGGTGGTATGTTTCCAATGTCACCAGTAACTTCCTTAGCATTGGACGCTTGTTGTTTATGTCAGTTTTCTTCTACTTCTCTTTTCTGTTGGATTCCAAGATGGTGCTTCGCTCTAATCTTTCTGCCTCTCTGAACATTCATGCCCATTGATTACATTTAATTCCTTGTTCCCCCCGAATGCCTTTGGTCTTTCTCTTGCTGTTTTTCTCCCTAGAACTCTATACTTATACCAAGAAGAGATTGTGTTTCTCCTTCAAGGCCTTGTGCAACTCTTAGCTGTTGTAGGAATTCTTCCCAAATCTTCTACCATTAATGAATTTCTTCCTCGTGTATTCCTATTTGCAGTGTTCTCACATTGGAAGTTTAGCCTTTGGCATGTATTATATACACATAGCTCATCATATGGATGTCTGTTTCTGTGGTTAGATTATAAGTGGATAGCAGAGGAGGTACAGTGATGAGGGAGAAGTTTGACTTTGGAGCCAAACAGATCTGGATTTGAATACGGCGATTCTGTTACTCTAGCTGTGTGGTCTTGGGCAGGTCAGCTAACCTCCCTAAACTTTATTTCCTTGAATAATACCTACCTGGCAGTGTATTCAGCTAAATTATGCATGTAAAGTACCTGTTCCCAGTGCTTGGCAGGTAAAAGCACTCTACACTTGTCTTCATTGTCTATCTTGGGTTCTAAATCAGTTTTTAAATTTTTATTCATTTTCATATCAGTACTTGGAAAACTGTAAGCATTCAGTAAATGCCTGTTGAATTGAAATGATCTTTTATTCCTGTTGCTTCCATCCTTAGTTTATATTCTGTTTGGATCAATATTAAATTATTATACATTTTGAGCTCGTATTAACTGACAGGGTAGTGTTCTAGGTGATGAGGGAACCACATTTAGAGTTTTAAAATTACCGCAGTATTCACAGGGTGCCCGTAATGCATCTGGCGTCCCACCCCCAACCCCCTTCTTTGGGGTATGTTACTTTCATTTAGAAACTTAATTACATAATGAGTTTTCTAGCTAACTTCTCAATTTTCTCCTTCTTTTTAGGCACCAACAGAGAGGCAGTTGCGATATAAGGAAAAGGTTGCTGAACTCAGGAAGAAAAGAAATTCTGGGCTGAGCAAAGAACAGAAAGAGAAATATATGGTGAGAAGAAGTTAAATATTTAATTACCATGAACTCTTGCTATCACATTTGATTCCTTTTGGTTACTAAGATTCTGCTTTTCACATTTGTCATTTGGTATGCTCTGTAAGTAACAGGACTCTTCTCTGGCAGTTAGAGTTCACTATATATAATTCCCCAATAAGAGTGGAACTGGGAGTCCTCGAAAAACAAAATACTGTTAGAATTTAGATCAAAAAAAATTGAATCCTTTAGTTTGTAAACCTCACTTTAGGTTTAAAGGGTTAAATTTACCCGCTCGAACAAATACCATGATGTTGGAGATGTCTGTGTAAGGAAGAATATTCAAGCTAAGCAGTAGTGCATTTCCTTTAATGGAAGAATAAAATACCTACATGATAAAAGGTATTAATTGGGTGATACATTGTATAATAGGTCTTTTTGTAGTGTTTTAATTTATTTTTCTAGTTTTAAAAGTAGTGCACGTTTGTAATAAAAAATATAGAGCAATTAAGGAAAGTACTCAGAAATAAACACTAATCCTACTACCTAAAAATAACCACAGCTAGCATTTTGGGATAAAACTTTCTAGCTTTTTACAATGCCTTATTTACATAGTTTGGATATTATTATAAGTACAGCTTTTAATTCTGTGTTTTCATTTACCTATCTTTTTTTTTTTTTCATTTACCTATCTTAAGCTGATTTCCCCATTTTATTAAAAATTCTTCCAAAATTTTTTTGCACAAAATATTAATTTTTAAGTAAAGATTTATTATAAATATCTTCATAGCGTTTACTTTGAAAATACCAACTATAGAAAAGAAAAATTAAAAAAAAAAAATCACCCTCCCAGATATAAACCACTGTTAATGTTTTGGCATCTTCTTCTGATGTGTATTTTTTTCATGGAGTTGGACTCTTTGTTTACTTAGTCATTAGAATAGATGATTAAAAGTATGGTTTGTGAATACTTAGCATGGCTTCATTAAGGCAGAAATATGCCCAACTATGTATTTGCTTTTGTGGTAGCAAATTTACTACCATTTACTACCATCTCCATTTACTCGTAAGGGTATCATTTTTAAGACAGTGTGGTAGTCATCACTGTCTTAAAAATGATACCCTTACGAGTAAATGGAGATGGTCCAGTTTGAGATGTGTGGAGGCTGTGGGGTGAGTTTGTAGCTAAACACCTGCTCCAGACTGTGCTGGGTTTGTAGAGAGAGGGAAGGCTCTAGAAATGGGCTGTGGGGGGGGAAGTTGTATGCTTCCCCTCTGTCTTGTTCAGTGTTTTTATCTACAAATTGGGTAGAGGTGTAATAATACGATAATACCATTTATTGAGTGCTTATGTGCTAGGTAGGCACTGTGGTTATGTTGCTCCCATAATCTTTGTTACAAAGATGGATGGTATTTCACCTGTTTTATAGATGGGAAACTGAGATTTAGAGAGGTAATTTTCCCAGAATCATACAGGTAGAGAGAGTGTCTGAAGTAAAAGCTCCTGAAATTTACCTTACATTTGCTTTCCACTAGTTTGGGCTAGATTATTTGGACTGAACCTTCCTGGTAAAAATGCTGGATAGGATTTTTTAAAGCTTTTTTAAAAAAATTCATGAAACTAGAAGAAATAACTTATACTTAAAACCCAAGTATTAGATAACAGCCCCAATTAAAAAAGATATCGATCAGATGGGCCCAGATCAAGCAGAAGAAATTTTAATTTCAGATTAAGCGGAAGAAATTTTAATAGATGCTGGTGAGTGGTTTCTTCATATGATAATATATGAGCGAAGTCTACTGAGTTCTTCCTGGGATGAGCCATCTGCTCCTCTTAACAACCATTATCTTCTGTTCTCTGGGTAGGAGGTGGAGTCTAGGACGGAGTGGGAAGGGCTAGAATCAAAGGTTAAAAGTGAAGTTTCCCCTGTGGAATTTCTTTCTTGTGAAAGGATATTTGTGTAGTGACTGCCATGGTAAGATTTGTTACTTATTTAAAACTGGATTATTTCTATGATTCTAATTTTCTGTGTCTGTTCTGTCCCTTGTTCTTGCTTAATATTGAGTAAAACATTTCTCAGAGGCCAGCCTTTTTTCCAGTGCACTTGGGCTGGAGTTCTAAAGTAGGAGCATTACGGTACCTTTGGTGGATCGTGTAGTGGTGGGTGCTGCAGTAGTTCAAGTGAAAGAGTTTACAAAAGACAGCTTAGTCCAACTGCCCCTTCCTACCTGCAGATTTTATTCAGTCTAAAATCTTAGACTCGAAAGTTTAGAGATTCTAGCTTTTATTTGGTTTTGTTTTTAAATGGGGAGTATCCACCAAGGTTCCTTCCAGATTTTAGGATTCTAGGAATTGGTAGTGCCTTTGGGTTTGTTATATTTTATTTCTTTGTATGGTCACGCACATTTTCAGAGAAAGAAATGGAAGCATAGAGTTCCAAAGAATGAAACTCACTTTCGGAGAGATTATAAGAGCATTTCCTTTCCAGGTTCACTAGGGTGGGCAGTGGGTGTCTTCTGGAATTAACCTGTCTGATAAATAGTTTATTTTATACTCAATCCCTAGTATCTAGTATAATGCCTGGCAAATAGTAGGCACTAAATAAATAGCTTATGGTTGTTCTTGGCCCTCTGGTTGGCATCCATTGAAATGCAATAGATTAAGTTCTTAGAAGCAGAGAGTGTCACTCTCTGGTTATATTCCTAGGAACACAGGCAGACCTATGGGAACACTCGGGAACCTCTTTTGGAAAACCTGACTAGCGAGTATGACTTGGATCTTTTCCGAAGAGCACAAGCCCGGGCTTCAGAGGATCTGGTGAGTAGTAAAACCTCCAAGCTGAGGACCACTTGTGAGGGGCACTTGGAACTGCCAAGAAAAATGATTAGCAGTCAGTTTGATGGGGATTAAATATACCTTGCTGGCTGACTCTTTCC